AAAAAAAAAAAAAGTTGATGAGAATGTTAAGTGTACTCATGACTCCCTTACCTGAACGTGTCCATTTTCTCAACGTAGACGTTGACCTGGAGACGTTTGGCAGCTCGAAGGACGACTCCGGTGAGCTGCAAAACATCATGGAGTTTCTGGTTAATACATCGGGGCTCCAGACCCGTTTCAACACCACAAGATGATTCTATGTTGCAAATATTTTCAGCAAAAGTGTCTTCCCAATGATCCGGTTGCTGTATGTGCATTCATCGAAACAGGAGGTGATTCTCCAACACATTGGACTCCAATGATGTTTCAGTGAGATTTGTGAACTAACTATACAAAAAGTAGGGCCGCCGTAAACACGATGGCGAGCGGGGCGCAACCAGCTAACCTTGTATCAAAGTTCAGAAGCCAACATGACGTTAACGTGGCGGCGTTCGTCTTGAGCTACTGTGCTGTTGAATTGTTGTTATCTCGAATGCAGCCTTGTCGTAAGGACAACAGGGAGTTACGGCAGGTGATAAGAGCTACTGGATTATCTCCAGCACAGCTGCCTCATGGAGGAACCTTACAAAATTCACGCAGTGCAACATCTAGTGGTTATGACGAGCCAAATCTTTCGGTAGACCTGCACAAGTAGAAACTGTGCATCTGTCTCGAGAGCACTTGTCCTTCTTCAGGGTTGCAGGTGTGCTGCAGCCCGTTCCAAGCGATTAAACATATCAGTGTGCTGTTTTGAAGGAAAGCAACTTGACCGATAACCGAGGAACTTCAATACATTCAAAAGAGCGTGTATCGCTGACCGGATTGAGATCAATGAAGGTCTGGTGGTACTCCTTATGGGGCCTCATGCCGAATACCGCCCGCACAAATTTCTCATCTCCCTGGTAGAAGTGCGGCGAGGACATTATGATGGGCGCACCTGAACGCAGCACAAGATATCCCGGTTAATGAAGAAACGGGACATGCGCGTTTAAAAGCGACACTTCCTCACTTTGTTTGCAGGGCTTGACGTTCAGGACGCCCGAGCCGAGACAGTTGTCGGCGGGGACGCAGAAACCCGCGTTGGACGGG